TCCTCCTCCTCCTCTTCCTCGTCCTCCTCCTGGGCTTGGCACGTCGGATCTCTCCGGGCCCCTCGGCGCCTCCACCAGCGCGGCGGGCCGCGGGGCGGCGCCGGGCGCGGGCGGCTGCCAGGAGCCCCGCCGCACCACGCGCACGAAGCTTCGGGGGCGGCCGCCCCGGGCGGGGAAGTGACGGCGGCAACTCGTGGGAGCCCAGACCTTACGAGGAAGATCCTACGTGAGGCCCGGCTTGCGTCTTGCGTCGGATCCACGTCGGATTTACGTCGGGTTCACGTCGGAATCACGTCGGATTTCCGTCGGGCTGACTCCGGAGCATCGCCGCGCGAGCGTCGAGCCACAGCTTGCGGAGCTGACGTGTGGACCAGATAATACTTCTATTACGCGCCGTGCGAGGCCTCCAGGATTTTCCTCATAGCAGACCCCCTCGGGCAATGACAAAACTCACGACGGGAAGTGTTTCCAAGTTTTCGGCCTCGGGGGGCCCTTACAAGGCCTCGGGACCGTCAACAAAAAGACTCGGAATGCTCGGGCGATGAAGAGATCATTGCGGGAAATTGTTTGTTGTATTTCCGGCCTCGGGGAGTCCTCACCGGGCCTCGGGGCCGTCAACAAACGACTCGGGAGGGAAAGCCGGTGCCGGAGAATGGGGAATGGGTCGAGACTTTTTGGGGTCGACGTCATGAACAAGTCATGACCTTGGCTCTTGCGAATCGCCGCTAGTCGACGCCAAATGGGTGCTAAGCGACGCTGGCCGACGCTGAATCAGCGCCAGCTCATCGACTCCCAGATGCTAATCGACGCTAGTCGACGCTAAGTATAAGATTGAGAGGGTATACCAGGCTCCCATGATTTGCTACCGACGGAAGTCCAGGCATGCCTCCCCGCGCCAGCTGGGGCGGTTGCGTGAGAAGCGACCCCCAACCCAACCCCCGCCCGCGTCGTGAAATAAAATCGCGGCGGAAGGTTTTTCATTATTTTGGGCGTCCAGGTGCCCTTACAGGGCCTCGGGACCGTCCAAAAACGACTCGGGATGCGTTACGAACAAATCAGGACGTCGACCCCCAACCCAGAGATCCGACGCTCCAGCAAAAATTGGAGCGGGCGGTTGTTGGCCGTTTTCGACCTCTGGGGAGCCTCGCCGGGCCTTGGGAATTGGTCCGGACCTCCAAGTCCCACGCATCGAACAAATGTTATGTCGGGTGTGTCCCCCCACAGGCGGATCTTCGACGAAAAATTAAAAATACCCCCAAAATGCCCCAAAAGGATCAAACAATATTCAAAAAATAGTCCCCAGACTATTTTTGGACTATTTTTTTACTATTTTTGGGGTATGTTTTATTTCTCGTCGAAAATCCCCCTGTAGGGGGACAGGCCCGACTTAAAACAAATGGGAGCAGCCGGATGTCTGGGAACCCCAACCCTTCGGGCAATGAAGACAAATCACGACGGAGGTATTTTCACAGCGTTTCGGCCCTCGGGACCGTCAGAAAAAAAAATCGGGATGAGCAAGCGGTCCAGGGGAATGGGTCCGTGCCTCTGAGGGTCGGCGATGCGAAAAATCATCACGTCGGGGGTCTGGGAACCCAGAGCAGCCAAGAGGCCCCGAAGAGGCCCACAGGAGGCCCCAAAACTGCACCCAAGAGGCCCCCGAGAGCGGTCCGAAGCGACCCGAAGAAGCGTCCCCTGAAAACTCGAACCCACATTCCAGGCACGGTAGCGGGATGGGCCGAAGGCCATTCGAAAAATCGGTCCCTACCCTCGAGGACGAAGCACAGCGGCATAAGCATACACTTTCGGAGCTCCAGGCGGATCTCTTGATCTTCGGGGGGGAGAAAGCATATCAATGTCACGTCACCGCGGGGGCCCCCAGGGCCCCATCGGGGCCCCCATCGGCGTGTCACTCCCTCGTTGTTCGCTCGAAGAAGACAGCGCACATCGACAGCTGCAAGCCGATGGGGCCCTGGGGGCCCCCGCGGCGGCGTGACATTGATACTCGCTCGCCCCCCCGAGATCTGCGCTGTGCCGGGGTCCCCTGGCGGCGCCTCTGGCTCCCCTCCCGGTGCACTCCGCGCGCCGATACTGTGAGATAACAGCTGACAGAGAATGCGGGGGCGACTCGCAGAACAGTTTGCGAGTCTCCAGCTTACGCTTCCCTTCGGCTCCGTCTGGCCCGTCGACCGTCCAGGCGCGCTCTCGCGAGGAAGGCAGGGGGGGGGTCTACTGAAAAAAGACAGTGTTTCGGCCCGGGGGCGGTTTTTCTAGTCATCATCCCGGGTACCCCCGTGTGAACACGACCCCCGAAAATTGTTTTGATCGTCATCCTGCATTGATGGATCGGCCCCTGACCTAGAGGACGAAACGAAAAGGCATAAGCATAAGCTTTCGGAACTCCTCGCGGATTCGTTGGATCTGTGCTGGGGCCCCCTGGCGGCGCATCCGGCTGCTCCGGGGCCCAACACATATCCCAGAAACCCACGCGGAGCTACCCAAGTTTCTGCCTATGCAGCTGCACCAAGGAAGCACGCAGCATGACTGCTCATGTTGGACATACAGTGCGGGTGCGGCCGCAAGAAACCCTCGCAAGAAACCAAACCCTGAGAATCCGCGCGCGAGGTGCACCGGAGGGGAAACCCGGTGCACCCTGAACGAAGCAGCTCCTTCAACGGCCGCGAGAAGTCGCCGCGCAGCGCGAGGAGCAAAGAAACCCAGGATACCCTGACGAAAAGCGTATGGTTTCTTGATGCGCCCCCCCACTGTGCGTGGCCAACTCTCTGTCGCCATACATCGCAAGGCAGAGGGGCGGGCTGGGAAGGGCCATGCCACTCCTTGACAAAGCCTTGCCCCGATGCATGGCCTCCGCGACCACCCTGGCGACCTGCAGAATAGGCGGCGAGCGAGGGGGGGAAATGAGAAGAAGACCTTCTCAGAAGGCGGCAGGACTTCTCAGAAGCCATCGCGCCTTCGGACGAGTTTGTTGTTTGTCTCCGGGGAAAGCTTAGAACACGTCTCAGAAGGCCGGGGGACTTCGGAGCCTTCTGAGAAGGCCTTCTCCTTCTCGCTTCCCCTCCTCGATCGCCGCCGATAAAACCGACCCGGTGGTTTGGTTCGGGGTCGAAATCACGCAACGATGGGATGCCCCTGCACGAGGGCGTGGTACGTCTTGGTGACCCTCTGCTGTTCGAACAGCAGCTTGCAGTCCTGACAGACCTTCGGGAGACAACTCCTGGGAGTTTTTTTCCCTACTTAGGCTCTGCCTAGAAGGGTTCTTACTCTCTTTGCTTAAAGGGCCGGGCAGTGCTAACCGCCCTGGGCGGTTCCCCCAGTCCCCGCCCCGCGGTTCCCCCAGTCCCCTGGGAGCTTTAGCCTTAGCTTTAGCTTTAGCTTAGCTTTAGCTTTAGCTTTAGCTTAGCTTTAGCTTAGCTTTAGCTTAGCTTTAGATTAGTGTTAGCTTAGATTTAGCTTAGCTTTAGCGTAGCTTCAGCTTAGATTTAGCTTAGCTTTAGCTTAGCTTCAGCTTAGCTTTAGCTTAGCTTTAGCTTAGTGTTAGCTTAGCCTTAGCTTAGCTTTAGATTAGCTTTAGCTTAGCGTTAGCTTAGCTTCAGCTTAGTGTTAGCTTAGCTGTAGCTTAGCTTTAGCCTAGATTTAGCTTAGCTTCAGCTTAGTGTTAGCTTAGCTTTAGCTTAGTGTTAGCTTAGATTTAGCTTAGCTTTAGCTTAGCTTTAGCTTAGCTTCAGCTTAGCTTCAGCTTATATTTAGCTTAGCTTTAGCTTAGCTTTAGCTTAGCTTTAGCTTAGCTTTAGCTTAGCTTCAGCTTAGCTTTAGCTTAGCTTTAGCTTAGCTTTAGCTTAGCTTTAGCTTAGTGGTAGCTTAGCTTTAGCTTAGCTTGAGCTTAGCTTCAGCTTAGCTTTAGCTTAGCTTTAGCTTAGCTTTAGCTTAGCCTTAGCTTAGCTTTAGCTTAGCTTTCGCTTGGCTTCAGCTTGGCTTCAGCTTAGCTTTAGCTTAGCTTCAGCTTAGCTTTAGCTCAGCTTTAGCTTGTCTTTAGTTTTAGCTTTAGCTTAGCTTTAGCTTAGCTGTAGCGTAGCTTCAGCTTAGCTTTAGCTTAGCTTTAGCTTAGTGTTAGCTTAGCTTTAGCTTAGCTGTAGCGTAGCTTCAGCTTAGCTTTAGTTTAGCTTTAGCCTAGCTTTAGCTTAGCTTTAGCTTAGCTTTACTGTTACTACTAATGCTGCTTTCCTAGGGGCTCCAACTCCTAGGTAGGGTCGCACTGGGATAATTTCTGTCGGAGCGAGCAAGCGGCTAGCTGGATTAGGCTGGATGACGTCTGGATGGGCCGGATTAGGCGGGGCCAAAACGAAGTAAAAAGGATCGATGCTGGACCCTGAGATCCGACATAGCGAAAACTACAACATCGCAAACAATCACACACATAGCCCTAGACCCGATCGTTCTGCGCCATATTTCGAGCCGGATCGATCTGTGAGGGTCCTGGGGGCCGAAAACAAGCGAAAACGCCCAGCTCAAAACAATTGGAACGCCAAAATCTCAGGGAATGAAAAGGGATGATGTTGAATAAGCCAGTCTGCGCGCCGATTCTGAACTTAACATCCGAGGAACTGCATCCCAGCAGACCTTCCTGGACGTGCCCACGAGCAATACGCCGGAGACCTCGTCCTCCATCGAGTGGCAGGGGTACATGCCCAGACCCGGGTACGCCCTGGCGAACCAAGCCGCCACGGTGGGCTCGCCGTCGAAGAGGTCGTCCCGGTTGTAGACGAGGGTGCTGAAGGGCTTCCGCAGCGCGACGAGCTTCCACCTCCTGCTGGCAGACTCCGTCCACAGCTCTCGCACCGAGTAGTCGGCGAGCCTTGGGGCGCTCGCCAGGATCAGTTGCCCCACGAGCTCTCGCGAGAGCTTCCCCTTGCTGACGAAGAACTCCAACCAATCGGGTGCTGCCAGAGGTACCCCTGGCCCGAGCAGGTCTTCCATGCGAGCCCGGGATTTATCCATGGCCGCCGCCAGGGGGAACCATGTCCTGTGGGACCCAAGTGGGTGGTTGATATGGCTAGACTTGGGCCCCAGGGCCCCCGAATCAATGAATGCAACAATAACTCTGTACATATATATACATCAAACACAACTCTCTAGAATATTCCTTCTCCTCACACACATATATATACAGACTAGAACCATCGCGCGCGCTTCGCGCGCGCTCAGGTTTTAGCAGGCCCCAGGCCTTGACGAATTCACTGCTCCACTGAAGTAGTGGACCACAGTCCACGCATACCGATCTGCATTCCGAAAGGCCTTCGAGGAAAATTGTTGTGTAGGGGGCGGAGGCCGTATGAATCGGGTTCCCAGAAGGCCTTCTGGGAGCATGGGTTTGGGGCGTCTTGGGGAGCCTGTGGGGCGTGCCGTCGTCGTCGTCGTCGTCGTCGTCGTCGTCGTCGTCGTCGTCGTCGTCGTCGTCGTCGTGTTGCTGCGACCCATTCCCGAACCTGACCTTGGGGGTGGCCTAACCTGGCGCAGCCCCGATTGGCAACAGACCCGACACGTCCCGTCCAAACTGAACGCCAGGTTCGCACTCGCCCAGCACGAAGGGACGGCAGCTGCGGTCGCCAGTTGTCTCGCGCCGAGTCCGTACGTTTTACTACGGTGACGGGCTGATTTTTGCCTGTTGAAGGCCCTCTTGGGGCCCCCTTCGGCCATCTTGAAGCCATCGCGGGCCCTCTTGGGCCTCGCTGAGGCTGTCCTTGGGCCCTCTAGGGCGTCCTCGGAACCCGGAAATCATGTTCCCGGAGAGGCTTCCGGGAACATGATTTCGAACGGGGCCCTCTTGGGCCTCCCTGAGGCCGTCTGGTTGGGCCTCCTGGGCCGACTTCGGGGCCTCTGGGGCCGTCTCGGGGGGTTCGGTGAGCCCCACAGGCCGACCCTTTTGGGCGGTTTTGGGGCATCTTGGGGCCTCTTTGGGGTCTCTGATGGGGGCATTGTTAAGCCTCTTGGGACCTCTTGGGGGCCTCTTGGGGCCTATTGGGGCGGAAATCTCCATTGTCGGTTCGTGTCCCCCCTCTTTGGCACCTCTTGGGGCCGTCTTGAAGCCCTCTTGGGTCGTCTTGGGCGCCTCTTGGACCATTTGGGCGCCCCCTTGGGCTGTCTTGGGGGCCTCTCGGGGGCCTCTTGGGCCGTCTTGGGGCGATGTTCGAGGCTTCCTCGGCAATCTTGGAAGGTCAGAAGCCCGAAAACGCGGGCAAGCAAAAGACATTGAAAAACACAATGAACATCTATGATTTTAGCCTCTTGGGGCTCTCTTGGAAAGCCTCTCGGAGCGCCCCTGGGGCTTCTTGGGGGCCCCTTGGGCCTTGATGGGGCTATCTTGAGAGTCTTGGAGCGCTCTTGGCCCGTCTTGGCGGCTTCTTGCCGTCCCCGGAAGCCGTGGTGGACGCCTCCGGGGGCGCAAAAGAGCCTCCGGACGCCCGGGGGCAAAGTGGGTTACGGGCGGGGGGGGGGGGGGAAATTCGGTATATGATATTATATATACATATATATATATATATATATATATATATATATCAATTCCAAGCCCGCCGCTTGCCGAGGTCCCCGAAGATCGATGGCAAAAGCGAAGGGTACTGGATAACTCCCCGCCCCTGAGTTCCAGGCGATCCAGGAAGGACTCGCCCACGGAATGCACTCTGGGAGCGCCCCGAGTTCCACTGGAGCGAGGGTGGACGAGCGGCCCGCTGCGAGAGCACAATGGGGGCCGGCGGCCAGGGGTGGCCTGCAGTCCTGGAGAGCTGGTGCCCGTCGCAGGAGGAGCGCGGTGGAGACAGCCCCGGACAGGTCGGGCGAGCAAGAGTCAAGGGCCCCTGGGACACAGCACTGCACAGACACACAGCTCAGGACTCCAGGTCCGATGCATCTGTTCTGGGTCTTCGTCTTCCCCCCCACACACTTCCCATATCTGCTCCCGCCTGTTCCTAGGACTCGGTCAGCGCTTGAGGATGGTGGTTACGATGCGCCGTCGACGGCAACACCACACCGCTCACCCTCCGGGACTTCGCCTCCGGCTCCTGTCCAAGGCGTTCCTTGTCCTGTGCAAGCTCCTCAGCACCGCCTGCACCCCTGCCCGCCCTCCGGCCGCCTGAGGCTCCGCCCGCCTGTGCGCTGTCTCCCCAATCAGTGCTTTGCGCGCCCCGCCTAGCTCTTAACCGGAAGAGGCCCGCTCTCGACCCGCAGACCAAAGAACTGTTCCTGGGACTCGGCACCCGTCTATGGGGCCTGCGTGCTCCCTCCCCTCCTGCAGGAGCGCACCCCCTCCCCCCCCCAGCGGGGCCCCGCCCCCCGAGGGGCGAGGCGGGGAGGGTCCCGGCCGGGGACGGCCCGGGCGGCGGTGGCGTGCTCTCGCCGCACCCCGTCCGCGGCCCGGCCACTCCAGCTGAGGCTCTTCGCGCCGAGGCGCCCTCCCTCCTCCTCCCTCCCCCCTCCGCGGCCGCGCTCCACCCTCGTTCGGGGACCTCCTGGCCCGGGTCGATCCAGGGCCCGGGCCAGGCAGGCCTCGCAGGGTATCCTGCAAGATCCTGCAGGATCCCAGGCCCGGGTCGGCGCGAACGCTCCTGGAGCATCCTCCAGGAGATCCTGCACCCAAGCCAGGGTCAACGCGACCCTTGGCCCCGCAGGATCCTGCAAGATCGGGCGCTCTGGCCGACCCCCGCTTGCACTGACCCCCGTCTCAAGGCTCCCGGGTTGTCTCCTCTTGCGCAGCCGGACAACCCGTGCCTGCCACTGCCTGGCCCGCGAGAGCGCGCGTGCGGGCTGCCTCTGCCGCGCTGCGACGGAACAAGCTGCGAGACTTCGCGGCCGAGCCCCGGATCCCCGACGCCATGATTTGTTCACAACGTCGACCCTCAGGGGTCTCGACCCGTTCCCCGGGGCCGATCTCTCGTTCTGAGTCGTCTTTTGACGGTCCCGAGGGCCCGTGAAGACCTCCCGAGGCCGAACGTAAGGAAAAACCTCCCGTCATGTTTTTGTTCATTGCCCGAGGGGGTCTGGGTCTGCCGCGCTGCGACGGAACAATCTGCGAGACGTCCCGGCCCAGCCCTGGAGGGTCAAGGGGTTGGCCTGTTTTCCACCACCACACCCATAAGGTGCAGGGGGAGGAGGTCCTCCTCCTCCTCCTCCTCCACCTCCTCCTGCTTCTCCTTCTCCTTCTCCTCCTCGTCCTCCTCCTCCTCCTCCTCGTCCTCTACCTCCTGCCCCCCTCCAACTAATGGTGGTGGCTTCTGAGAAACAGGCCCATCGTCAAGGGAGGCCCCGGGGGGGTGGGGTGCGCTTCCGTTGAGACCTTCTGAGGGGCTCCGAGTAGATCACTGCACCGACCTTGCAGACGTGCTGCAGCGGATTTTTGCGTGGATTTCTGTCAATGCAAAACACCGACACAGCGAGTGAAAAACGAAATGAGTTTCGCGTGGATTGTTTTTGGTCCTCATTCCTGGCCAAAAACAACCGCATGAAATTCACCCCGAAACCCAGAAAGAAATTCTCCGGGATACTCCAAGGCCCATCCTATCGTTGTCCGAACGAAATCCTCTCTGCGATGTTGGCGCCATGGAATAGATGGGTCGGAAACTCCCACTGCATCGACAACGTAAGTATCGCCGAGGCATCGCCGATACATCGACGATGTATCGGCGACGCCGGCGTGAAGAAATGCGTGCTCCACATCGAGTTGCATCTCAGATGCTTCGGCGGCACGGGGCGATCCATCGACCCCATCCACTCCTTTGTCATCTAGGAGGCTTGAAGTCTCTGACCCGATCGGTCCGTGAGGGCCTCAGGGGTCCGACGCGACGACGACGACGACGACGACGACGGCGACGACGACGACGACGGAAGAAGACAACGACGACGACAACGACGACGACGACGGAAGACGACAACGACGACGACAACAACGACAACGACGACGACGACGATGACGGAAGACGACGACGACGGGAGACGACGACGACGACAATCAATAAGACGACGACGACGGAAGACGACAACGACGACGGAAGACGACAACGACGACAACGAAGACGACAACGACGACAACGACGACGACGACGACGACGGGAGACAACAACGACGACGACAGCGACGACGACGACGACGACGACGGAAGACGACGACGACGTATTACGACGACAACCACGACGACGACAACGACGACCGCGGCGACCGCGACGACGAAGACCGCGCCAGGCCCACGGGGCCCCGACCATCGGGGGGGGGGGAGGGCGAAGGCATCCAAAAACGGGAGGGAGGGGCCTGGAGCCCTGGATCCTACATGCGCGCAGGCTCCATACAGGGCAGTTTTTAATACATAACATGAGATTTTTAAGTACATGATTTGTTGATGGACGAATATATGCATGAACTCATCGTTGTATTTGATGCTAAATCCCTGCATGTTTAAGACATAATCCGCACGCGGAGCATGTATTTAAAACGGCACTGTACACTTGGGGCAGCTTGGGGAACCCTTCTCTGGGCAGGGCCTCCTTCCCCAGACATCCAGCTGCTCCCATATCCATTCGATGCGTGGGCCCCAGGAAGTCCGGACCACTGCCCCTGGGCCCGGCTTCCGTCTTGAATCGCGTCCTGACGCTCCCGAGGCCGGGCGAAGGCCCCCAGGGGCCGAAAACGGCCCCAAACCGCCTGCCCCAAGCTTCTGGGAGCGTCGGCGCTCTGGGTCTCCCGCCTCTCGAAGCCTCCCTCAGGGTCCGGCGTGGGAGCCCGATGCAGGACGGCAGCGCCACTGGGCGCTGCTCCTGGCGCCCGAGAGAAAAGCTGTCCACCTCTTCCTCGCCCGTCGCTGTGGAGGTCCAGGGCCCTCGACGCTCGGGCCGGGGGGGTGGAGGAGGAGGGGGAGGAGGAGGAGGAGGAGGCAGGATGGAGGAGGAGGAGGAGGAGGAGGAGGAGGAGGAGGGAGGAGGAGGAGGAGGAGGAGGGGGAGGAGGAGGAGGAGGAGGAGGAGGAGGAGGAGGAGGACCAGTGGAAACCCAAGAGTCATCAACGATGTTGGAATTAACCTCCCTCCAAACTCCCTCTTCATAGGCCCCTACAACGGCTCATTCCATTGAAGGACATGACATGCCTCGTTGAAAGACAACGGTGTGAAGATCCTGAAGCGTGCCAAAACATTGTTCTCGTGATTTCAATGCCACGTACCAACCTGACTGCTGCGTCTTGACGATCCAGAATCGTGCCGGAACGCCATTACTGGGATTTCAACACACACACACACACACACGCGCATCTCTATATATATATATATACACACCAAAAACGAATATGCGCGGCGCTGAAGCGAGAACCACATTTTGAAAAAGAACCGCCCTCAATCCGTGAAGCTCTTGCAATGTTTCTAACGAATGTGCGCGGCGCCTGGACGAGAGCCACATTTCGAAAAGGTACCGCCCTCAATCCGTGAAACCCATCCAATTGTTTAAACGAGTGTGCGCGGCACTGAGGCGAGAACCACATTTTGAAAACGACCTGCCCTCCATCCGTAAAACTCTTGCAAATGTTCAAAACGAGTGTGCGCCCCGCGCGAAGGCGAGGACCACATTTTGAAAACGACCCGCCCTGAATCCGCGAAGCTCTTGCAAATGTTTAAGACGAGTGTGCGCGGCGCTCAGGCGAGAGCCACATGTTTGTGAACCTGCTGTCGTTTTTAAGCTTCAGGATCATGAATGGTGAGGAAGTCTCAGGCGAAACGCCCGACCCGCCCTAAAAACTGGCCTCGGGGTGCGACAGGGAGGAGTTATCTATAAAAGGAATGGAGGACGAGGAGGAGGAGGAGGAGGAGGAGGAGGAGGAGGAGGAGGAGGAGGAGGAGGAGGAGGAGGGGTGGGGGGGGGAACCTTCACCACGCAGCACCCCGCGCACGGGTGCGCCCGCGCGCTCTCTCTTGCCAGGGTGTGGGGGGCACCCAGGCTCCATCCGGAAGCACTGGCGACTGCCGGGGCCGCTGCCTCCCCCCCGCCAGTCGGCGGCCCAAAACTCGGACCTTCAGGTCCCTATTGTAAGGTCGGGCGGACATGCGAATGACTTTGAAATAATCAAACCATGCGACCAACACAATCAATCATTATATATTGTACCCATACGATGTTGGACTCTAGTTGAACACTCCTCCTGTCAGAGGACATGCCGGACTCAACCCTACTGGCACAAGCAATCTGTCGATTTGTTTTGCGTCGGCGTGAGGCCCCCCCTCTTTTCTCCCTGGCGCGCGAAGCACGCATGGGGCGGCGTCAAAGGGGCCGCCGCGGAGGGGGGGGGGGAGGCGAACGCCGACCCACGAAACCCGTGCGGACCCCATGCACAAGTGATGCTGCGATTCGGCATCGGGGCGCCCCTGCCTGGAGATCAGCGGGCCAAAGGCGTGACCAGAAGGTATCGATACCGCTACCCTTGGCTCGTTCATGTCCTCCTACAGACAGATGTTGGAAGTCAAATAAAAGATAATCAAACATAGGCAAAATGGTCAACAGGGCACGCAAAATCGCCCCCTGACTATGTTTTAAACCTGTCCTCAAAGATTCCTCCTGTGGAGGGACGTGCCCGACTTCACGCTACCCCCCTGGACCCCTCCAAGGGTGCGCCGCGGCCGGAAACCCGAGGCCGTGGCGTCGAGAGGACCCGCGCGACCGAGCAGCGGCGCAGTCATGTCTTCCCCCCGCCGACCGTGAGCGGGCGCCCCTGACTCGTCCACCGTGTGCCTTGTCCCATCCGACGGTCCCAGAGAAGAAGAAGAAGAAGAAAAATAAGAAGAACAAAAACGCCATAAGCATAAATTTTTGGCGCTCCGCGCGGATTTTTTGGATCTGCGCTGAACCCGCCCTCCCTGACGGGCGGAGAGCGCCAGGGGCGGCGCCGGAGAGCCGCCAGGGGGGCCCAGCACGGATCCAAGAAATCCGCGCGGAGCGCCAAAAGTCTATGCCTACGGCGTTGTCTTTCTTCTTCGGTAGAGGTCTCTCGACACCTCCCCCGTGGGCAGTCTGTTACAGGAGGCCGCATGCGAGCCCTGCTCTGCCACCCCACGACTTCTGAACGTGGAGGTGGGCTAGGGTTCGCGCGTGGCCGCCGACCTGTTGCGCCCCAGCGCCCCTGCCAGATGGCCAGATCGGGCCCGGGAGCGGCACAGGGAGGCCGCGGCCGAGGGAACGACACGACTGGGACGGAACAGATCACGTCGCCGAGGCCTGGGCCGGGCCTACCTTGGGGGGGGGGGGGGGGGGGAGGGGGCACCTGGCCCGAACGCGGCGGGCCTTTCTGGGGGGGGGGGGCACCGGCCGAGAGCGGCACCCGGAGCCCGACATCGCAGCAAGAGCGCCAGGGGGGGGGAGGAGCACCGGGCCCGAAGGCAGCACCCTCGCGAGGGGCCGACGAGCCGAGGAAGCGCCGCGCCGGGATCGCGCAGAGGACGCAGAGGCCGAGGACGGCCCGGG